AGTCTCATGAAAACGTGCTAAACCGTTCACAATGAACGATTGTGGCAATCAGCTGGAATATCATGATGATGGTGTCTAGGAACAGAATCTCCCCGTCTGCTGTAAGCTATATTACAAATGAAATGAAGCGGTTCGATTCCGAATGGGTAATGCGATGAACAGAAGATTGTCAAGGAGACGTCATGCTCGCAACAGACGAATCAAATTTCCACCCATCAGGCCGCTAGTTATTTATTTATTTTGCAGAAATAATTTCCTCCCTCGGAAGACTTCGAGTCCCGAACTTGCGATTCCTCCGAATTCAAACTTTTGTTTTTAGAGAATCCATTTTTTTTTTCCGGAACTTTGCGAGGAAGAAGTCACCGTCGGCGAGTATAATCGTGCTTAAAATTTGCAAGGAATTGGCGCAAGAAGGTCCATGGGTTTTGCACGCCAATTCAAGTCTCGACCCAAAAGCTACCCATTCCCATCACCAAAGAAGGTAATTAAAACAAAGGCAATTAATCAACGCTGAGAGATCCCACGGAATGTTACGCGCGGACTAGCCATGAGACAACGGTAACCATGACGACCGATCCGATACCTGAAGATGGCAGCGATCACCATGGCAACCGATGAGAGATCCTTCAACCCTTCAAGATGAGAGACTCAATTCAAGATGAGAGACTCAATTCAAGATGAGAGACTCAATTCAAGATGAGACTCAATTCAGAAGACTCAATTCAAGATGAGAGACTCGATTCAAGATAAATGCCATTCATTCCTTGAAAAATTAGCTTGAATGAGCTAATTCGCTCAGTGCAGAATGATGGCATTGTGAGCGACACAGTGCATGCAAGAAGACAACGTCGGTTCATTTGGCTAATTTGGACTAATTTTGGGTAATTTGGATTAATTTGGGCCTACATGGGTCAACCGGATAACAAGCAAGGTTTAACGAAGTTGACGCCGTCTGTACCACGTCTAACCGCGGCCTAACCGCAAGATACCACGAGGTTAACCCCACATTGCATCATTTAGTATTTTAAAGTGCAATATTGAAAATTTAATGGCGAGCGTAATGGAAAGGCCGGGCTCCATTATACGATCTTCCAAAAGCCATTTTGCGCGACGGCAGCTTGTTGCCATTTCGTTGCCGTGCAATACTGGATTGCGAAGTCGATGAGCCAATTTTTGGCATGAAAGCAGGTTTGGAGCTTTCAATCCATATCAAGGAATCTGTATTATGCAATAAGCATTATGCACTCTCCATTATGCGATCTGCATTATGCAATTCACAGTTTAAGTACTGTTACCAGATTGAAAAATATTTGCAACGTACTCGCAGTAATTTTTCCGATTTTTCAATTTTCCCTTTAGAATGAAAACTTCCGCTAAATTTTTGCAGATATTTTTTTTTCGTTTTTTTCGCGCCGCGCGTAACGTTGAAATTGCACCGACGACGTTTGCCTAATTTGCGGAGTGCGATCATTTTCCATCGCTTATCGCTGGCCAATTTTCCTTCCATATTCCGCCAATTTTGTTGCCTTTTTCTGCCAATTACTTCCTTGCCAAGAAATTCCTTCCAAGAAGAATTCCTGCCAAGAAATTCCATGATTCGGGAAAACGACGATTCTCGAAGCAGTTGTAAAAAAAAATACATAATAAAAATGCAAAATAAGTTATTGATACACACTTTATATATATATGTATCAACAAGATAAATTCATTATTATCGCTTAATTTTCGGTTCCCCTCTCGAGTTTTAGCTTGTCTCAAACTGAATTCTAGAACATCCTGCACGTTTTAGAACCTTCTTTTTCGGGCATTCACATGCAATTCCAGACAGTTTTGAAAATATTCGTAAGTTTGCTCCAATTTCCCCCTCCCTCCCCATATTTTTGCCTTCCTTTACACATCGAAATGCACCAGAATCAATCAATCAATCGATGAACATTTTTCGCTGATTTGGCAATTTTCGGCGAAACCGCCACTTCCCGCAGAGTCGATCGCGGACCCGTCTCTGTCCCATTACATATATGTATATGTATATATTTTTTAAATTTACATTATTGCTATATTTGCCAAAATGCAGCATGGAGCTTCAAATATGTTTCTTCAGAATGGTGTGATTCCGATGTAAAATGGATGCATTGTACATTTGCGACGAAATCCCTGAGGAGTTAATGAGATTCAATATATTTATGAGAATTCCGAGATCGATATTCCAGGCCGTTCCTGTCTTAGAAATGACAGTGAAATGGCCGGTGAAATAGCAGTGAAAAGCCCAGTGAAATGGCCGGTGAAATAGCAGTGAAATGACAGTGAAATGACAGTGAATTGGCCAGTGGAATGGCGATGAAATTGGCCCATTTCCGGGCGGGCGATTCAATCCGCCTCCATCGCTTGGGAGGAACGGAAGAAATCCATTCCACATATCCATTCCGCATATCCATTTGCACATCCGTTTCGCTTTTCTCTTTTCTTCGAGGCGGAGAATGAAAAAGTTAAGGGAAAAAATGCTCCGAAACTCAAATGTATCGCTATATGTGTCACTGAATGTATCATTCAAAGTATCATTCAATGATTCGGTATTCTTATTATCAGCCTCGACATCGCCATCATCGCTGAATAATAAAAAAATTTCCAATTGGCAGTAATTAACCAGTAGGTCCAATAGCGAAATTAAAAAATGTTCTCGTGCCTCTAAATTCGACGGAAGGTAAATAATTGACAAATTGATTGGCACAAATTTTCCTCTGTTTGTCTCGCAAGTTTTCTTTTATGCTAGATGATTTCAGCCTCGACCCAAACGGCGAGAAAGTGAAGAATGAAGTGCGGCAGGGCGAGTTACCTGGAATTACCTGCACGGGAAGGGGAAGCGGAAGCGAAAACTTGCAGGGAGAGGAGAGCCCAGCTGCCGCATGACGCAGCAACAGGTGGAAACTGGGGATGGGCGGGAGAGAGGAGGGAGCAGGGGCAGAGAGGAAGGGGACGGAGGGAGGGAGGCTTGGAGGGAGGCATGGAGGGAGGGGGAAAGGGATGGGAGAGGGGCATGCGCCCCCCATCGATTCAATTAGGCCACTCATACTTGCCCTCCTCCTTGTCTCGCGGGGATGCGAGCGTTTCGTATTGCAAACTGGGAAATTGCGCGATGCACTTCGAGCGAGGAGTGCGGGACATTCGAGCGCAAAATATCCGGGTTCAATCCCCATTCTCCGGAGCATTCAAATGTAAGAAAACAAATTTGGCTGTGAAGATATCAAGTCAGCTGGAAGATTTCAAGTCAGCTAGGAAAGTTTTCAGGTCTGCTAGGAAGGTTCAACCCTGTTTGCTCGAGTTGTTGAGGATTTCACTTCGAAAACGGGCGCGGATCATTTGAACTGCCATCCTAAAGCAGTTTAATGGATGCGTAATGGATGCTTTGAGTGGCCCGTCATCCGCTGACAGGCACGGGAACGAACAGGAAACGGCTGAGATCACCGATTTCTCCGAGATCGCGCTTGAATGTATTTATTATCGTACTTTTCGTACTTAAATAGTTTCTTGCTTTGATGAATTAAAGATAAAAATAAAATAAATATGGTAAAGTAGTACATTTATAGATTCTGTTCCCTGCCATTTCGCTGACTTTTTTTGTACAAACTCGAAATTTTTTATACCTGGCTCAGCAGCTCAATAAAACCTGCATTTTCTCCCTCCAAAATTGCACAAAGTTGCAAAGAAGTATTTATTTTTAATTCGGAAAATCTTGTCTGGTAATGATAATGATGATTATAAAAATGAGCAGGCTCTGTGAGTAAATACTGAATCGAGGGTAGGAAAAAAAAAATCCGTTCCGTAATGAGAACGCAATCTGTGGACATCTGGTCAATGGATGTTTGTCGCCGCGGAGCTTAATGAATGGATGTTTGTTGCCACGGAGCTTAATGAATGGAGGTTTGTCGCCACGGAGCTTAATGAATGGAGGTTTGTTGCCACGGAGGTTCATCGATGGAGGTTCTCGAGAGCCTCAGCTTGTTTGACAAGGATAAACAAGGGATGATGGGGATTTTCTGCATGAGCCGGAGGGGGATTCCCATTACAGTCTGCCTCGACCGACGGATGCAAATGCGCCGCAAGTCTGCCTGTTCCGGGAAGACATCGAGTGAAAGGGGAAAAAATGTCCTGGGGATTTCCTCTGCAGTTCCCAGGAAATCCTCTGCAGATAATCCGCTCCCCTCCCCCCTCGTGCTCAATATATAAATCTCGGTTCGTTTCCTCAGTACCGATAGCGTTCTGAAAGCCAACGGCTGAGTGTCCTTGAGTGTCCTTTAGTGTCCTTGAGTGTCCTTGAGTGTTTTTGAGTGTGATCCGTCTCGACCCGTCGACATGAAGACCCTTGGCGTGAGTAACATTTTTTTTAGTGGTTTCTCTGAAACTGTTATCGTTTTGCGTTCGGTTCTGAAGAAGTTATTTTATCACTAATGATAAAAGTTCCTTTCACACTAGAAAGAACAGCGTCGAATTTGACGTGCGATTATATAACGAGACCCGATCTTTGATTCCTCTGCAATTCGCTTTTCTACTCACATCTTTCTCTGAAATTGGCTCTTTTCCATCGGCCCCGATGGTGCGCGTCGTATATCCCGCATTCAGCAGAATATCGACCCTGACGTATATTTTGCACGAACACTTAAAAAAAAAATTTGCATAAGGGGTGGCAGTAAGAAGGAAGGCAATTTCCCTCGCGCAACTTGCCTCCATTCTGCCAAGTTATATCAAAAGAAACGGTAGAGCTGCCCGATCATAGCAATATTAATTGACTAATTGACATTGTTTCTATCGGCGACATCTCAGGATATCGCGATAATTTTTCAATTGCTTTCTGTCCCTGCCCTCTTTCTTCAGCATAATTGCACGGCAACTTTTCACCGTAGCATAAAAAGTTTTACCGAATCGAAGTAGAAAAGCTGGAAAGGGGATCTTGCATCTCCGCATCTCCGCATCCCGAAATGCCACGGTTAGGTGCTATACCGACGAAAACCTAAGAAGCGTAAGAATTCCGCAGGCATCGCCGGGTGGCACTCCCCGCAACTGCTAATTTGAGGTATCCATAACCGAGCGGAGAGATGAGACACTCACCTTCGCATCACCGTGTGATTCCCCCCCAAAAACATCACTTCCTCTCCAAACCTCCATTCCGTGGGATGGCGTCATTCTGATCCGAAGCTTCTTCAGCATAATATCAGCGGATTGGCGATTTCCCGATGTCGGTCTAGGTATCGTCGACGCTGAGAAGTTTTAGAGCCATTCACGGGCTGGGAAATTCGCTCGTCAATCGGCCCGTGCAGGCCCCTGATGGAAACGTCACCCGTTGTTATTAATGTATTTTGACCGATTTTCATTTCCGATTTCTTCCTGCTGCATGCATTGCTTTCAGCCTGTGATGTCACTTCAATGGTATTAAATTTAATTTTAAATAATATTAATTGAGATTCCTCTTTTGTCTCCCTAGGTTCTCGTTTTATTCGGGCTGGTCCTGGCGTCGGAGGTGAACAGTGCCCGGTTTTTCCGGGATGCCGAAGGTACATTTCTTCTCTATCAATTATTTGTATCAGTATAGCGGGCATTATTGTTGCTGTCGTTGCTGTTAGTAATTACGCGTCTATTTAGCAAGTAATCACAATCACCTTATATTCGGAAGAGTATTACCATTACCGCAGTATGCATACATTTGAAAAAATTAACTTAATCAGGACGCCCATCAAGACGTCGTGGAAACAGTGGGTACGGCGGCAGCATCGGAGGAAGCCACGGCTATGGCAGTGGCGGTCAAGGAGGTGGTCAAGGAGGTCACGGAGGAGGCTTCGGCGGTGGCAGCCACGGAGGCGGCCAAGGAGGTTTCGGAAGCGGTCAAGGAGGCTTCGGAAGTGGTCAAGGAGGTGGCCACGGAGGAGGCTTCGGTGGTGGCGGTCACGGAGGCGGCCAAGGAGGTTTCGGAGGTGGTCAAGGAGGTGGCCACGGAGGAGGCTTCGGCGGTGGCAGCAACGGTGGAGGCTTCGGCAGTGGCAGTGGGTCCTTGGGAGGTGGTCACGGCAGTGGATCCTTGGGAGGTGGTCACGGCAGTGGATCCTTGGGAGGTGGTTTCGGCAGTGGGTCTCAGGGAGGTGGTCACGGTCAGGGCTAAATCAATCGTCCTTTTCATGCCTTCAAGATTTCCAATAAAAAATGACAATTTGTTGTGACTAGTATCTTAATTTTTCATTATTTCCATCTCATCTCTACGAAGATGCCATCACAATCTCTTGTTTCAGCTTAACAATAATTATCAGATTCATAATAATTAATCAGTCATGATTTGAGTTGGAGATGATGCCAAATGATGCTTGGGCGGTGGCATTCACTCGTGGAGCGTTGTTCGTGATGACCAGAGGTAAAGCGACCAATAGAACGACGGATCAGTACCTGGACTAGTACTCATGAAACGCCATTTTCGGCCTTACGAAGCTCGTCTCACTCCCTTAGATAATCATCAGTGAAGATACTCATCATCGAGGCTTTAATCCGAGAGGAATTCAGCCAGGGCCGAAGGTGACCGAACAATTGGTGACAGGGGACAATTGTCACCAATTGCGTGTGACCTCAATGTGACCACATTGTCACCAATACCGGCGATGTGACCACATTGTCACCAATACCGGCGATGTGACCACATTGTCACCAATACCGGCGATGTGACCACATTGTCACCAATACCGGCGATGTGACCACATTGTCACTAATTGTTTCAATGTGACCACATTGTCACTAATTGTTTCAATGTGACCACATTGTCACTAATTGTTTCAATGTGACCACATTGTCACTAATTGTGTCAATGTGACCTCAATCCGAATCGCGCCGCCGTTCGTCCTCATAACGGGATTTCGTCCCCGTCACCATCTCGCCCTCTTCCCATCTGTCAACTCATCTGATCAAATCACAACTTCCTCTTTATTAATTTATTCATCGAAGTCGCTAATTCGCCTCATAAGGAGCGCTGATCCCAGAATCCTCCGCACGCAGCGAGTGTGCCCCTTTAAAAAAAAGTATCAATAATATAGGAGACCAATAATATAGGAGACTCAGTGGACATTGAAATATGACCTACCTTATAACGCCTCGTTCAAAATCCGCGGAATCGCGGCCTTTTCCTATGCTGTTCACATGTAACAATTTCTGCCAGCTGTACCCATTGTCATGCATCAACTAGTGACTGCGTTCGCCCCGACGTGCTTTTCTTCCAATGCCACAGCTCATTTTCTTTGGGGGGGGGGGGGTCATATTTCAATGTCCTTTGATGGTTTATTTCTTACAGGAAACCTATAGACTTTCCTATGGGTTTCTGTAATACAAAGAACCTGCAGGATCCCAATTGGGGTTTCTCTAGGACTCCTGGCCTATAGGATTCGGAGATTTTTTATTTGGCTTTGAAACCCTGGCATTATAACTGGGATTGTAACTAAATGGGATGATCACCCATTATTGGCGTTAATTTTGCTATAAGTACCTCACCTAGTAGAATTTTTCCCACGGTGGAGGAGTTAAAAACCCTTATTGCCAGTACTGCCCTAGTATTAACCTCTCCCCGTGCCCAAATCTAATTTCAAGTTCACGAGCATCCCTTCCTTCGTCGGGAGAAAGACCGATCGCCTACGCGCAACCTCACAATCTCAAGGGGATACAAGCTTATTTCCGGCCTGGACTCGATGGTTCCGTCTGGACATGGAGACAGCACATGAGGAAGTTTCAAAATCCATTCATCGCTACGATGAGGCCAGGCGAGACACACGGAGAGACACAAATTATTCCTGTGAGAGATGAACCCAAGGATAGAGGGAAGGGGACTTTTGTGTACTGTGAGAAGGACGAGACCCATGCCTCCATCTAGTGGCCTGGAGAAGAACTTTCACCCACCATTTCCCAAAGACTTCCAAGAGCAACTTAGGCACATGGAATCATCGCATCGGTGCGATGTTGGATCGATATTGGAATGGCAATATTGGGAAGACAATATTTACCAGAGGTTGGAAATATCGGCCACGTTTTAGCCAACGTGCCAAATGTTGATTGAGCCAATATCTGGTGGTACTGGGGTGGGGAGTGAGTAATCTAATAATTTGCACGACAAATTTGCCCGACGTTCAGCTAGTGTTGAACTTCATCGTTCACCTGAGTATTGCGATGAGCGACATTTAAATATTGAGTTGATATCAGATGCAATGCCAGCACAATGCTGGAACGATTCAAACTTAACGTTCCTACAATGCTGATTGAATATTCGTTTGTGACTTGGGTCCTTCCTCTTCCCCCAACACAGTGATGGATACAGGGCCGGGAGTAGGTGGGGGGTTGGGGGCGGTTGGGGGGAAGAGTTACGGAAGCGCCTTTCGATGAATAATTTCTGCATTTCCCGCTGCTCTAACAGATACGTTGTCCATCACGGAAGATTCTCATAGGAACCTTATAGATCCATTAGGAAGTTTAATGTATACCAATGCATTCTTATAGGTAACATTGGTTCCAAGGGCGTAGGAACCGGGGCGCAGGGGTGCCAAATGCCCCCTCACTTTACAGATGGGGGGCAAAGGGTATCTTTTGCTCCTCCCTTCCCCCACTTTTTGAACCTAAGAGCGACGTGTCCACGGGCAAGTTGCGACTCGAGAACCTTCGTGCCGTTCAATGGAATTTCGAAAGTAAATTTAGCTGGAATCGAGGTTAATGCCTGAGGGGGAACATCCTCGAACAGAAGGGAGGCTCTGGATTCAGTTCAGTCGGGAAGAAAAGGTCAGGGGATCAGGGAATTCTCTGCGGATGTTCCGCTCCTTTTCCCACTCGTGATCAATATATAAATCCCGGTTCTTTTCTTCGGTGCCGATCGAGTTCTGAAGGCTGACGGCTGAGTGTCCTTGAGGGTGATCTGTCTCAACCCGTCGTCATGAAGACCCTTAGCGTGAGTTACTTTTTTTTTTAGCGGTTTCTCTGAAAATGTTGCCTTTTGCGTTCCGTTCCTTTTAGAAACGGAACGTAAAACGTTCCGTTTCACAGGTTGACTTTTCCAAGGAACTGTTACCAATAGTCATAGAAGTTCCATTGACAATAGTAAGAAGAGCGTTGATTTTTACGTGCAATCATGAAACGAAACCAGACTTTCGAGGATTCCCCTGCAATTGGCTCCCCTCACGCCTTTCCCTGCAATTGGCTCCCCTCACGCCTTTCCCTGCAATTGGCTCCCCTCCCGCCTTTCCCTGCAATTGGCTCCCCTCCCGCCTTTCCCTGCAATTGGCTCCCCTCACGCCTTTCCCTGCAATTGGCGCCATTCTGCCATATAATATCAAAAGAAACGGTAGAGCTGCCCGATCATCGCGATATCATCTCAGAATATCGCGATCATTTTTTCACTTGCTTACTGTCCCTGTCCTCTTTCTTCAGCATGCTTAAACAACAACTTTTCATTATATAATAATAATGTATACCGATTTGAGAACAGGAAAGGGAAGCTGTCATCTCCGCATGCCACTTCCTGGAAATCACTAAACCTATGAAAACTTAAATTTCGGGGGAGTTAGAATTCCGCAGGCATCGCCGGGTGGCACTCCCCTCAACTGCTAATTTGAGGCATTCGTAACCGAGCGAAGAGATGAGACACTCACCTCGGCATCACCTTGTGATTCCCCCCCAAAAGGACCACTTCCCCTCAAAACTTCCATTCAGTGAGGTGGCGTGATTCCGATTCGAGCATTTCCCAGTGCCATTTCCGATTCCTGATTGGAGGATTGGCGATTTCGCAAAGTATCGTCGACGTTGGGGAGTTTAGAGTCATTCGCGGCTGGAAAATTCTCTCTGCAGTCGGACGTGCAGGCCTCTAATGGGAAGATAAATGGAAGCGTCACCCCGTTGTTATTGACATATATTGAAAAAGTATCATTTTTTCTGTCTTTCTACTGTTTTTGTCACGTATTGGTGACGGCACTTTAATGGTACTATTTTTAATATTAGACGAATTTCTTTTGTCTCTCTAGGTTCTGGTTTTATTCGGGCTGGTCCTGGCGTCAGAGGTAAACAGTGCCTCCCAAGGAGGTCACGGAGGAGGCATCGGAGGTGGCTGCCGCGTCAGTGGATCCTTGGGAGGTGGTCACGGCAGTGGATCCTTGGGAGGTGGTTTCGGCAGTGGATCCTTTGGAGGTGGTTTCGGCAGTGGGTCTCAGGGCGGAAGTCACGGTCAGGGCGGCCATGGCTAAATCAATCATTTCCATCCCTTCAAGCATTTCAATAAAAATGACAATTTATTGTGACTAGTGTCTCAATTTTTTATTTTCAACTCATCTCTTTGGAGATTCCATTACAATTTACTGTTTCAGCTTAGCTATAAAAATAATAAGATTCATGATAATTAACAAGTCATTGGAGACGACGCTAAATGATGCTTGGACGGCAGCATTCACTCGTATAGTATTGGTCGTGGTGGTCAGAGGAAAAGCGACCAATAGAACGACAGATCCGTACCTGGACCAGTGACCAGTACCTGTGACTTTTCAATCCAGACTCTCATCAACGAGACTTCGATCTGAGGAGAATTCAGCCAGGAACGATGGTGACCGAACAATTGGTGACAATGGTGACAGGTCACCATTGTCACTAATTGTCACAATGTGACCTCAATCCGAATCGCGTCGCCGTTCAGGCTCATAACGGGATTTCGTCCCCGTCACCATCTCGCCCTCGTCTCATCTATCAACCCATGGATCGAATCACAGCTTCCCCTTTATTTATTTATTCATCGAAGTCGGTTACTCGCAGCGTTAGGAACGTTGAACCGCCGCTTCCCAGAATTCGAAGCCTCCTCCGCGCGCAGCGAGTGTAACTAATGGAGGATCCATGCGAAGGATGTCCCCTTCACGGATGTCCCCTTGTCACAGGAAAAGAAGGAGGAAGGGGAGAGAGGAAGAAAGGGGGGAGAGAGGGAGACCTTGAGCGTGACGGCGGAGGACGAGAGAGGCTCTCACTGCCTCCTCCCTCAATGTGTGCCTTGTCTCTCGAGTCCTTCTCTCCTCCTCCGACTGTCTCCGTGCGACTCTTCGCACAGTAATGCATTATCTTCATTACCCCGTGCGAATTCGTTAAGCTTTTCGTCTGGGAATTCCAGGAATGAATTCGTGCGAAACGCAGTCTGAACTCCACAGTTAAGCAAGAACTCAGAAATCCTTGAGCAATTTCTTTTTTTGCAGGAGGTTCATCGTTAATTAACATCGAGAGGGTCAAGCTGAAAATTTTAAATTAAAATAATACGAAATATTTTTTTTGCAGGATTCGGAGATGAACCCATCTCGCTCCTTTTTCATCCGACTTTTCTCACCTTGGAAATCGCGAACTGCCCGAGTGCTACTTTATTTTTATTTATTTATTTTTTTTATTATCAGAGAGTGCCTTTGCAT